AAACGAGAATGGAAAGAGCGCACAAGACGGGGAGCATGAACAGCATCAGCCGAAATCCAACTGTGCTCCTCAGGCCCATAACCCTTCCAATGTACCAAGTACTGAAGTCGACCCCTAAGGAAACGAGAGTCAAGAACAGCAGACACTTCGAACTCCTCATGACCCTCCACTGAGATAGGAGGGGGAGGGGGAGTATGCCGGGTATAGCGGTTGCGTACGTAAGGTTTCAACAATGAGGTGTGAAAAACATTAGGAATACGTAGATTCTTAGGCAGGCCTAAGGCATAGAAACAGGATTAACCTTATGTATAATACGATAAGGTCCAATGAAGCGGGGAGCCAATTTCATAGAAGGCACCCGGAGACGAATATTCCGCGTGGAAAGCAAAACCCTGTCCCCCACAACATAGGACGGAGCTGCTCTGCGATGCTTGTCAGCCTGAGCCTTCTGGCGAGTAGCAGAGTCCACCAAAGAACGCTGAACCTGCTCCCAAGTATTACGCAAACCAGCCAAATGCTCATCCAGAACTGGCATGCCCTGTGAGGAGAATGCAGCCGGAAGAACAACGGGATGCTGGCCATAGACAACGTAAAAAGGGCTCTTGCCGGAAGAATCATGAGTGGCGTTATTCCGAGCAAATCAGCCCAAGGAAGCAGGTCAGACCAATTGTCCTGATGGTGAGACACAAAACAACGGAGGTACTGCTCCAGAGACTGGTTGGCACGTTCAGCAGCCCCATTAGACTGGGGATGATAAGCGGAAGAAAATGAGAGAGAAATACCCATTTCTGAACAAAAGGCTCTCCAGAACCTGGAAATAAATTGGCTACCCCTATCGGATACAATAGATACGGGAATACCATGTAATCGAAATACTTCTCTAGCGAAGATATGAGCCAGTTCCTTGGATGTGGGCAACTTGTGAAGAGACACGAAGTGAGCCATCTTGGAAAACCGATCCACTATCATCAGGATTACTGTGTTACCATTTGAAGGGGGTAATTCAACAATAAAATCCATGGACAGGTTAGACCAAGGTCTCTCGGGAACGGGTAACGGATGCAACAGCCCACAAGGAACTCTACGGGAGGATTTCATACAGGCACAAGTAGTACAAGCACTTATATAGTCAGTGACATCCTTTCGTAAGGAATCCCACCAAAAATACAGAGAAACAGCTGACACCGTTTTGGAAATACCAGGATGTCCAGCAGTCTTAGTATCATGATATAATGACATAATATCCCGTCTCTCGGGAACATCAACGAACAGTTTATCATTAGGCCTCTCGCTAGGTGCCATGCTTTGTTTCGCTTGTATGGCCTGCAAGAGGGACGAGGAAATAGACAAAATAGTAGTAGCTATTATCCTGTCTGGGGGAATGACAGGAGTAACATCAATCTCCTGTTTGTCAGTAGTTTCAAACTGTCTGGACAGAGCGTCTGCTTTAGTGTTGCGATCACCTGGCCTATAGGTGATAATAAAATTGAAACGGGACAAAAATAGTGACCACCTAGCCTGCCTGGAAGACAATCTTTTGGCTTCGCTAAGGTAGGATAGGTTCTTGTGATCCGTAAAAATGAGGATAGGATCCTTAGTTCCTTCTAACAAATGTCTCCACTCTTTAAGTGCTAAAATAATAGCAAGGAGTTCGCGATTACCCACATCATAATTTTTCTCTGCTTTGGACATTTGTTTAGAAAAGAAGCCGCATGGATGCAATGGCTTTTCAGGCGACTCTCTTTGGGATAAGACAGCACCTACCCCAATATCCGAAGCATCAACTTCAAGAATATAGGGCAGTGAGGGGACAGGATGCTGTAAAATAGGTGCAGAGGCGAACGTAGTTTTAAGAAATTCAAAAGCCTGAAGTGCCTCGGTAGACCAAACACGAGTATTGCCATCCTTTTTAGTCATACGGGTAATAGGTGCTACAATGGACGAGAAACCTTTGATAAAACGTCTATAATAATTGGAGAACCCAAGAAAACGCTGAATAGCTTTCAGACCTTGCGGTAGAGGCCATTCTATTACAGCAGCAAGCTTCTGGGGATCCATACGAAAACCTTTAGCGGAAATCAAATACCCCAAGAACTGGACTTCGGTTTGGTCAAACAGACATTTTTCTAGCTTACAATAAAGACCATTAGCAAGAAGGGTCTTCAAAACTGTCATAACATGTCTGTGATGAGTGTGTATGTCTGTAGAATATATTAAAATGTCGTCCAAGTATACGATAACAAATGTGTGAATAAAATCTCTTAAGACATCATTAATAAATTCTTGGAATACTGCTGGGGCATTGCAAAGCCCAAATGGCATAACAGTATATTCGTAATGACCGGATCTAGTGTTGAATGCAGTCTTCCATTCGTGATTTTCCTTTATATGTATCAAATTGTATGCACTCCTAAGGTCTAATTTAGTGAACACAGTGGCATGTTTCAGCCTGTCAAATAATTCTGTAATTAAAGGTATAGGGTATGCATTTTTGATAGTGATTTTGTTTAGACCTCTATAATCTATACACGGTCTTAAATCACCTTCTTTCTTCGATACAAAGAAGAACCCTGCTCCAGCTGGAGAAGAGGATCTCCTAATAAACCCCTTTTCTAGTGATTCCTTAATATACTCCTCCATGACACGGTTTTCTTGAACCGATAAGGGGTACACCCTGCCCTTTGGAGGTATAGTGCCAGGCAACAAGTCAATAGCACAATCATAGGGTCCGTGAGGCGGTAATTTCTCAGCCTCCCTTTTATCGAAAACAGTCTTTAGAGATAAATACTGAGGGGGTATAGCCGTAGACAAAGGAGGACTGGTAGGTACCTTAATAGAATTCAAAGGTGTGACTTCCAACGTACAAGACTCGTGGCAGGCCTCACTCCATGATTTTATTTGCCCTGTCTCCCAGTCAAAAATGGGATTGTGAGCACGTAACCATGGATACCCTAATACTAACTGTGAAGAGGGAGAGGTGATGACCTGGAATCGAATGGTTTCATAGTGTAAAACCCCTGTGTACATGTGTAATGGTACAGTCTCATGAGTAACAACTGGAGAACTTAATGGTCTACCATCTATGGCCTCAACGGCCAAGGGTATCTCCTTCTCTCTGATGGGAATGTTGTTTCTCTTTATAAAGCCAGAGTCTATAAAATTTTCAGCTGCCCCAGAGTCAACCAGAGCATATATGTTGTCAACTATACAAATCTCTCCCATATATAAAGAAACCGGGAGAAGCAAGCGGTTAGGAGGCAATTTAGGAGACTTAGATATCACACCCAAGGCCAGTCCCCTATAAGGTCTTAGGTGCGAGAGTTTTCCGGGAGTAAAGGACATTCCTTTACCATATGGTCTCTCCTACCACAGTATAGGCAGAGTCCCTCCCTTCTCCTATGTAATTTCTCAGTATCAGAGAGTTTGGCAACCCCTAATTGCATAGGTTCCTCCTCAGACACTTTAACACTCTCTGGTATATTAACTCTGGGGTTAATGGGTGTAACAAAACGTCTATTCCTGTTCTTGGTATAGAGCCTGTCACGAATTCTATTATCTATATCAATGAGGTAATCAATAAGGTCCTCTAAGGCAATAGGAAGCTCCTTAGCTGCTACCTCATCCAATATCGTATCTGACAAACCTTCCATGAAGGCAGTAGTTAACCCATTGTTGGTCCAATCTACCTGCGAAGCAAGAGTGCGAAACTGAATAGCATAATCAGCCACAGACCTAGAACCCTGTTTAATTCTCATTAATGCTCTCGCGGCATTCTTTGACCTTTTCATTGTGTCAAAAGTTCTACGAAAAGCCGTAAGAAAACTGCTGAAATCATGTACCATAGGTCCATTAGCTTCCCAAATAGGATTTGCCCACTCAAGTGCCTTATCGGTAAGTTGGTGCATAAAGAACCCAACCTTAGACCTCTCTGTGGGAAATGAACGTGGATACATTTCGAAGTGGAATTCAATTTGATTAATAAACCCTCTGCAAGTCTTAGAGTCCCCTCCATACCTAGGAGGAGGTGTTAAATGGGCGAAGTATTAGGCAAAGTAGATACTTCAGGGAGAAGGGGCGTAGGAGGGTTAGGTGTGGTTGCTGGAACGGTTCTAGCTAGGAGCGTCTGGAGAGCCTGAGCTATCTGATCCATACGGTGATCCTGCTCTACAAATCTTGCCTCATGGGACGCCATCTGTTGAGCTAAATCTGCGGGGTCCATGGCCCTATCGTAATGTAACGAGAATATACCCCTACACGCAGGATCCAGCTAAACAGAAGCCAATACAGAGGAGAGATACGTCTACCGGACCTTAGAATGGCCGGACTCGACGTATATGAGAGGAGACAGAGCCAGGAACAAACCGAGGTCAAGGGCACAGAGAGACAGCGTAAACTAGGACAAGCCGGGGTCTGGTACACAGAAAACAGCAAGCCGGCAAACAGTACAGATAAGGATAAAGCGAAAACGAAGTCAGAATACAAAGCCAAAGTCAATACGAGAAAACACAACTGAACACCACAAGCGCTAAAGGGAACTGAAACAGAAACCACGATAGGGCAACGAGCTAAGGGAAAAAGGTAAGTTTAAATAGCTTTTAAACGAAAGTGATTGGTTCCTGTCACTTCCACACCCCCAAAAGGTAATTGTATAGGGAGTGTGGTATGACAGGAGCCAATGGGAGCCTTTTGGCAATTAGGCTCCCACTGTCTCTTTAAGAGCGCGCCCGAGACTCGCGGCGCGCTCTTAGTTTCAGGCGGGACACGTGACCGCTTCACGCGGTCACTGCCCGCCTTCCCTCTAAAGCAGTCGGATGAGCCGCGCGCGGCTCGTGCAGCCGCAGGACCGCACGCGGCTTGAAGAGAGGTAAGTAACGCTACAGTACCCCCCCTGAGGACACGCCCTCCGGGCGGGTAGGACCAGGCCTGGCAGGAAAACGAGAATGGAAAGAGCGCACAAGACGGGGAGCATGAACAGCATCAGCCGAAATCCAACTGCGCTCCTCAGGCCCATAACCCTTCCAATGTACCAAGTACTGAAGTCGACCCCTAAGGAAACGAGAGTCAAGAACAGCAGACACTTCGAACTCCTCATGACCCTCCACCGAGATAGGAGGGGGAGGAGGAGTATGCCGGGTATAGCGGTTGCGTACGAAAGGTTTCAACAATGAGGTGTGAAAAACATTAGGAATACGTAGATTCTTAGGCAGGCCTAAGGCATAAGAAACAGGATTAACCTTATGTATAATACGATAAGGTCCAATGAAGCGGGAGCCAATTTCATAGAAGGCACCCGGAGACGAATATTCCGCGTGGAAAGCAAAACCCTGTCCCCCACAACATAGGACGGAGCTGCTCTGCGATGCTTGTCAGCCTGAGCCTTCTGGCGAGTAGCAGAGTCCACCAAAGAACGCTGAACCTGCTCCCAAGTATTACGCAAACCAGCCAAATGCTCATCCAGAACTGGCATGCCCTGTGAGGAGAATGCAGCCGGAAGAACAACGGGATGCTGGCCATAGACAACGTAAAAAGGGGTCTTGCCGGAAGAATCATGAGTGGCGTTATTCCGAGCAAATTCAGCCCAAGGAAACAGGTCAGACCAATTGTCCTGATGGTGAGACACAAAACAACGGAGGTATTGCTCCAGAGACTGGTTGGCACGTTCAGCAGCCCCATTAGACTGGGGATGATAAGCGGAAGAAAATGAGAGAGAAATACCCATTTCTGAACAAAAGGCCCACCAGAACCTGGAAATAAATTGGCTACCCCTATCGGATACAATAGATACGGGAATCCCATGTAATCGAAATACTTCTCTAGCGAAGATATGAGCCAGTTCCTTGGACGTGGGCAACTTGTGAAGAGACACGAAGTGAGCCATTTTGGAGAACCGATCCACTATCATCAGGATTACTGTGTTACCATTTGAAGGGGGTAATTCAACAATAAAATCCATGGACAGGTTAGACCAAGGTCTCTCGGGAGCGGGTAACGGATGCAACAGCCCACAAGGAACTCTACGGGAGGATTTCATACAGGCACAAATAGTACAAGCACTTATATAGTCAGTGACATCCTTTCGTAAGGAATCCCACCAAAAATACAGAGAAACAGCTGACACCGTTTTGGAAATACCAGGATGTCCAGCAGTCTTAGTATCATGATATAATGACATAATATCCCGTCTCTCAGGAACATCAACGAACAGTTTATCATTAGGCCTCTCGCTAGGTGCCATGCTTTGTTTCGCTTGTATGGTCTGCAAGAGGGACGAGGAAATAGACAAAATAGTAGTAGCTATTATCCTGTCTGGGAGAATGACAGGAGTAACATCAATCTCCTGTTTGTCAGTAGTTTCGAACTGTCTGGACAGAGCGTCTGCTTTAGTGTTGCGATCACCTGGCCTATAGGTGATAATAAAATTGAAACGAGACAAAAATAGTGACCACCTAGCCTGCCTGGAAGACAATTTTTTGGCTTCGCTAAGATAGGATAGGTTCTTGTGATCCGTAAAAATGAGGATAGGATCCTTAGTTCCCTCTAACAAATGTCTCCACTCTTTAAGTGCTAAAATAATAGCAAGGAGTTCACGATTACCCACATCATAATTTTTCTCTGCTTTGGACATTTGTTTAGAAAAGAAGCCGCATGGATGCAATGGCTTCTCAGGCGACTCTCTTTGGGACAAGACAGCACCTACCCCAATATCCGAAGCATCAACTTCAAGAATATAGGGCAGTGAGGGGACAGGATGCTGTAAAATAGGTGCAGAGGCGAACGTAGCTTTAAGAAATTCAAAAGCCTGAAGTGCCTCGGTAGACCAAACACGAGTATTGCCATCCTTTTTAGTCATACGGGTAATAGGTGCTACAATGGACGAGAAACCTTTGATAAAGCGTCTATAATAATTGGAGAACCCAAGAAAACGCTGAATAGCTTTCAGACCTTGCGGTAGAGGCCATTCTATTACAGCAGCTAGCTTCTGGGGATCCATACGAAAACCTTTAGCGGAAATCAAATACCCCAAGAACTGGACTTTGGTTTGGTCAAACAGACATTTTTCTAGCTTGCAATAAAGACCATTAGCAAGAAGGGTCTTCAAAACTGTCGTAACATGTCTGTGATGAGTGTGTATATCTGCAGAATATATTAAAATGTCGTCCAAGTATACGATAACAAATGTGTGAATAAAATCTCTCAATACATCATTAATAAATTCTTGGAATACTGCTGGGGCATTGCAAAGCCCAAATGGCATAACAGTGTATTTGTAATGACCGGATCTAGTGTTGAATGCAGTCTTCCATTCGTGATTTTCCTTTATACGTATCAAATTGTATGCATTCCTAAGGTCTAATTTAGTGAACACAGTGGCATGTTTCAGCCTGTCAAATAATTCTGTAATCAAAGGTATAGGGTATACATTTTTGATAGTGATTTTGTTTAGACCTCTATAATCTATACACGGTCTTAAATCACCTTCTTTCTTCGATACAAAGAAGAACCCTGCTCCAGCTGGAGAAGAGGATCTCCTAATAAACCCTTTTTCTAATGATTCCTTGATGTACTCCTCCATAACACGGTTTTCTTGAACCGATAAGGGGTACACCCTGCCCTTTGGAGGTATAGTGCCAGGCAACAAGTCAATAGCGCAATCATAGGGTCTGTGAGGTGGTAATTTCTCAGCCTCCCTTTTATCGAAAACAGTCTTTAGAGATAAATACTGAGGGGGTATAACCATAGACAAAGGAGGACTGGTAGGTACCTCAATAGAATTCAAAGGTGTGACTTCCAACGTACAAGACGCGTGGCAGGCCTTACTCCATGATTTTATTTGCCCTGTCTCCCAGTCAAAAATGGGATTGTGAGCACGTAACCATGGATACCCTAATACTAACTGTGAAGAGGGAGAGGTGATAACCTGGAATCGAATGGTTTCGTAGTGTAAAACCCCTGTGTACATGTGTAGTGGTTCAGTCTCGTGAGTAACAACTGGAGAACTTAATGGTCTACCATCTATGGCCTCAACGGCCAAGGGTATCTCCTTCTCTCTGATGGGAATGTTGTTTCTCTTTATAAAGCCAGAGTCTATAAAATTTTCAGCTGCCCAGAGTCAACCAGAGCATATATGTTGTCAACTATACAAATCTCTCCCATATATAAAGAAACCGGGAGAAGCAAGCGGTTAGGAGGCAATTTAGGAGACTTAGATATCACACCCAAGGCCAGTCTCCTATAAGGTCTTAGGTGCGAGAGTTTTCCGGGAGTAAAGGACATTCCTTTACCATATGGTCTCTCCTACCACAGTATAGGCAGAGTCCCTCCCTTCTCCTATGTAATTTCTCAGTATCAGAGTTTGGCAACCCCTAATTGCATAGGTTCCTCCTCAGACACTTTAACACTCTCTGGTATATTAACTCTGGGGTTAATGGGTGTAACAAAACGTCTATTCCTGTTCTTGGTATAGAGCCTGTCACGAATTCTATTATCAATATCGATGAGGTAATCGATAAGGTCCTCCAAGGCAATAGGAAGCTCCTTAGCTGCTACCTCATCCAATATCGTATCTGACAAACCTTCCATAAAGGCAGTAGTTAACCCATTGTTGGTCCAATCTACCTGCGAAGCAAGAGTGCGAAACTGAATAGCATAATCAGCCACAGACCTAGAACCCTGTTTAATTCTCATTAATGCTCTTGCGGCATTCTTTGACCTTTTCATTGTGTCAAAAGTTCTACGAAACGCCGTAAGAAAACTGTTGAAATCATGTACCATAGGCCCATTAGCTTCCCAAATAGGATTTGCCCACTCAAGTGCCTTATCGGTAAGTTGGTGCATAAAGAACCCAACCTTAGACCTCTCTGTGGGAAATGAGCGTGGATACATTTCGAAGTGAAATTCAATCTGATTAATAAACCCTCTGCAAGTCTTAGAGTCCCCTCCATACCTAGGAGGAGGTGTTAAATGGGCCGAAGTATTAGGCAAAGTAGATACTTCAGGGAGAAGGGGCGTAGGAGGGTTAGGTGTAGTTGCTGGAACAGTTCTAGCTAGGAGCGTCTGGAGAGCCTGAGCTATTTGATCCATACGGTGATCCTGCTCTACAAATCTTGCCTCATGGGACGCCATCTGTTGAGCTAAATCTGCGGGGTCCATGGCCCTATCGTAATGTAACGAGAATATACCCCTACGCGCAGGATCCAGCTAAACAGAGGCAAATACAGAGGAGAGATACGTCTACCGGACCTTAGAATGGCCGGACTTGACGTATATGAGAGAAGACAGAGCCAGAAACAAACCGAGGTCAAGGGCACAGAGAGACAGCGTAAACTAGGACAAGCCGGGGTCTGGTACACGGAAAACAGCAAGCCGGCAAACAGTACAGATAAGGATAAAGCGAAAACGAAGTCAGAATATGAAGCCAAAGTCAATACGAGAAAACACAACTGAACACCACAAGCGCTAAAGGGAACTGAAACAGAAACCACGATAGGGCAAGGAACAAAGGGAAGAAGGTGAGTATAAATACCTAAACATCTAATTTGATTGGTCCCTGTCACATCCACGCCCCCAAAAGGTAAGTGTATGGGGAGTGTGGCATGACAGGGACCAATGGGATACCTTTTCCAATTTAGGCACCCACTGTCCCTTTAAGAGCGCGCCCGAGACTCGCGGCGCGCTCTTAGATTCAGGCGGGACACGTGACCGCCTCACGCGGTCACTGCCCGCCGTCCATCCGAAGTAGTTGGATGAGCCGCGCGCGGCTCGTGCAGCCGCAGGACCGCGCGCGGCTTGAAGAGAGGACCGCGACCGGCCCCCGGTTAAGGTAAGTAACGCTACAGGAGGATCCCTTGTGTGACCGGTAGCTCAGCGGCCGCCGGCTCTTGGGGTATGTGTGAGTCTTCCCCTCCACCACCTTGGCTTTCCTCGTGGTGAGTCTGACCTCGTGTGTGGCTCGATTTTACCCCCAATAAGTTGTTTTTGTCTCCTCTCTCCGTCTGGCGACGTTGTTGGGGTTGAGACATGTCTGGTTAGTTTATTTCTTTGTGTTGGGTCACTGTTTGTTGTATGATTTCTGCATTAGCAGCGCGGAGCTCCGTCTACATGCAAATGCTCACGCTGGAGTCCAGGACACACCCACCTCTCCGCAGTTATTAACAATCAGCAATGACAGGAACATGAACTGGTTTAAGAGGAGAGAGCAAATAATGCCCCC